GGGGGGTCCTGTGCCCCTAACCCCAGTGAATGTAGAGGGACAAGTGTATTTTAAATGGTTAAAATGCTTCTCGTAAGGCTTCGTTGTTGGTAGTAAGAGCTTTAAGCTATATTATAATGGTAGTTTTGGTTCCACCTCTTTTATCTTTGGCCCCAACCATCCCTGGAAAATGGCCCCCAGGGATGGAGATATCAAAGTGATATCTGTGCTATCTCCATCCTTGGACAAATACCAATGACAACAAGCAACGTCATTTATATCCTATCCTGTTCCCTACGCTGCAATGCAAGGCAGCTTACAAATTAAAATGCAAAACAGTTTAAAATTACCAACCTTAAAAAAGGATTTACTCCACCAGCGACATTTAAATGCAGTTTAAAACAGAATGTGAAAAATGATAAAAAGTAGTTTAAAGGGGGGAAGTGAAAGGCATGTCACATCAGTCTCTTGCCTTCAGCATCCAGCCAGGTGTCTTTGGAAGCTTATAAGAGGCCAAGAATTGTTGACCTTCCCCAAGACCTAAACTTCAGAGCAGTGTTGACATTGAATATGGAAACTCAGTTTAGCCGTCATCCCAAAAATCCTGATACACCCAACCCCCATGACAAGTTCCGATTGTTCTTCTTTTTAAAAAGGCAACTCAGCTGGCGACCATCAGTGAATCTCAATAAACAAATTATGCATTATGTGAAGAAATGTGTTTCTTTTGTCAGTCTTCTTGGCTGCCTGCCTCCCGCCAATTGGCTTTGTTGTGTGGACCAGTTTGGCTAGATCTTGCAGCAGATTGTTATGCAAAGGAAAGAGAGAATTTGGAACCTTTTTCAGCAGAAATGTTCTTTTCTGTACAGTTCTGTAGGAAGGACCATAGCTCAGTCATGGAGAACACATTTATATGTCCAAGATTTAGTCCCAAATAGGGCTCAGAAGGACCCCTTCTGAACCCTTAACAAGCTGTTTCCAATGATCTTGTAGACAATTCAAAGCTAGATGGATGGCTTGGCTTTTGTATAAAAAAGCGTCTTGTGTTAAAGGTACAGGTTTTGGGAGACTCTGCCTAACCAAGCTGCCCACTAACCAAAGTTCTCTGAGAAGTGGACAGTCTGTTTAAAAAATAAAATACATTTAAAAAGCAACAATAATACAACAAA